AACATTTCCCTAGGGTGTAAAAAGTTCTGGGCCACCAATTTGCAAAATTGCTGTAGGTAATGAGAATGAGAATAACTACAATATGGGTAATAAATGCTCTTATAAGTGAGAAGGGTTCCAACTCTATCCTTTCAATAGAATTGAAGAAAGGCCAAATAGAATTGTCAGTTGATTGACTGATTGATGATTTAAAATAGTCAGGTTTTTTTTTTGTTTGTTTTTGTTTTTTTTTTGAGACAGAGTTTCACTCTGTCACCTAGTTTGGAGTACAGTGGCATGATCACAATTCACTGCAGCCTTGGCCTCCTGGGCTCAAATGATCCTCCTGCCTTAGCCTTCTTAGTAGCTTGGCTAATTCTTTTTTTTTTTTTTTAATTTTTTTGTCTCACTATGTTGCCCAGGCTGGTCTCAAACTCCTGACTTCAAGCAATCCTCCCCTCTAAGCCTCCCAAAGCACTGGGATTATAGGCATGAATCATCATGCCCAGCCTAAAAATAGTTTTTGATGATAGACCAGTGTGTGAATTGGGGCATATAATTCAGAAGGAGTTTAAAGAATTGATGGGCATTACTATAACAACTTCTTCCATCCTCATCTACTTATTTGTCTAAACAAAGTTTTTCAGAATTAATATCAAAGCAATTAAAAACATTAAAGGAATTTATGCTGAGCTCTATATTGTTGTAGCAATAAGTAATATTCATTCATGGATACATGAACTAATAGAAAAAAAACAACCCCACTAATCTCATTAAAAGATGCATTTCCAGCAATATTTTGCTTTATGTTTAATGATTGTTTATTTAAAATTATATTTATTTTAATCAATTGTATACTAAAAATAATTTTAACAATAACTCAATCCAGAAGAAATTAATTAACACTTAGAGGCTTACGGTCTCAGGAGGAAAATTTTAATTTCTTTTAATAAATATAGTAATTTTTGTACAGGCAAGTATAAAAGAACAGTCAAGAAAAATCTTCCAAGCATAAAAATGCATTACTTTAGGATTACATTTTGTGGAGTAGAAATATAAGTTAAAGGAGAAAAAAGAAAGATTAAAATTTTCACCCTGTAAAGACAGCATGTTTGTATATTTTTTTAAATGGATGAGGTAGCAGCTCACACTGGCATTTAGTTTCTTTTGGATGCATTAAAATGAGTGACATGAATTTCTCTTAAAAGTCCAATATTTAAAATACATCAGAAATGACATCTTTTGAAAATATTCAAATTTGCAATAAATAATTTATATGCTAACTTAAAAATGTATGAGGGTAAATACTGTACAATTCCATTTATAAGAAATTCTAGAGCAGGCAAAATTACAGTGAAAGAAAATCAGAACAATGTTTGCCTCTAGGAGTGGTGAGAGCATACACAATTAGAAAGGGTTACAAGAGAACTTTCTGGGGTGATAGTAATATTCTATTTCTTAATGGGGCTTAGGGTTAGAAAGGCAAAAGTATTTGTCAAACATTATCAAATGGTGTACTTAAAGTGTGTACATTCATTGAGGTAAATGTATCAAACTATGAACATATATTTGAACTCTAATTACTGTCTTACATGTTATAGAGCTTAGAGGTGAAACATATTGATGTCTAAAATTTATTTGGAAATGCCTAAAAAATGACATAGATTGACAAATGGACCAATGTAACCAAAGCAAAATGTTTATTATATTAAATAGAATCTAAATGGTGAGTATATGGTGTTCACTGCACAACTATTTCAACTTTTCTAGATGTTTGAAAATATTCATAATAAAACATTGCAAAAAAGGTACAAGGGGAAATTTTTTTTTCATAACTTTCTTAGGACGTATGTGGGCAAGAGTTTGAAGAGCACTGGCTTCCATTTATCACCATTTGCTGGCGAATCTTTATCTTAAAACTTATAACCCAAATCTTTCTCCTAAATTCCAATCATATGTCCACTCCATCTGGATTTCGCAACCAGATCTAAAACTCAGCAGATCCAAAAATGAATTTATTGCCTTCCCTCTATCAGTTAGGAATATCTTTAGGTACATGTAACAGAGCACAAAATCAAACAAAAAGAGGGTATTTTTCTTACATAACAAGAAATCTGGAAGTAGGTGGCTGCTGGTGTTGGTTCAGCGATCCCACAACGTCCTGGCTGGCAGGTCTGCAATTTTTTTGGTCTTTCCTCATAGTCACAAAATGTTCTAGAGCTTCAGGCATCATGTCCGAGTTCAAGACAGGAAAAAAGAGAAAGGAGCAATGCCAGTGACAATTAGTTTAAAGGCTAACTTCCCTATTATGTCATTTAATGTAGTCCCCTACTTTCATATAATAATGTACTCTTGGAAATCAGCTAGGATGTCTTTCGGCCACCATATATACAAAATACACGTATACATACACACATACACATAAAATACCTAGACTACAATTGGCCTCAGAAATGGCTGACTCAGTTATGGGGTAATGTCAGCCCTGATTCAGGTTTTCTCAACTTTCCACTTTGTTGTTCTCAATGTTGTATCTGTCCTCAGGCTGATATGAAGATGGGGACAGCAATTCCAAGTATATCATCCGGACCCAACAACCTTGAGAGGAAGAAGAGAGATCATTTGGCTCCCCACTAGACACCACTCCCATCACATTCGCCAGAAAGCCTGTCAATTAGTTTCCTGAACTAACACAAGGGAGATGGTCCTATGGAAGGTCAGCTTCTGCTAAGAAATGTAACTCTGTGAAAGGAGAGTTAGGCAAGTTTATACTCAAAATCTAAAAAACTGCTATGTTGCAGGTAATCATCTGTCTCTGACACATGTGTGCTAAAATTGTAGTTTGAAAGCACAATAGATTTCTGTGTTATATAATAATAAGGATTCTGTTCCCAGAGTATAGAATATATAATCTCTAAATATATTTTGTCTTAGAGGCATAAAATTCAACAGTGTCTTTAAAGTCTAATATCATTGTTGTTCCTTCAGTTGATTTATTGAGTGCCTCCTGTGTCCCAGACACTACTCTTCTAGTTCTTTTCCTTTATAATACTACCGAGGTGACAGAAACAGAACTATAAGTGTTTGACTGAAGATAAAGATTCACCTCTTTCTGTATATCTGACTTTCCTCTTTGTCTTTATTTCACTATTTGAGACTTATGCGTATTATCAGAATCAGCACTTTCATTTTTCTGCCTTCTATTCATTTTTATAAATAAATTTCACCATTGAAACAAATGTCCCAAGACACAGAAGTAGGCAAAGATGGCAACATGGTAGAAACGGAATGGTTGGCTGATGGAGTTCAATACAGCAATGTAGTACTTACTCTGTGCCAGGCACTGTTCTAGGCAGTTTACAAATATTAACTCATTAATCTTCACAGCAAAGCTCTACGAGGTTGGTGCTATTATCTCCATGTTGCAGATGAGGGAACTGAGGCCCAAGGATGGGGTTGCAGGCTGTTCATTGGATTGAAAGCTGAGATTTGGCCTTCAGCCTTCCTGACACACCTCCTCCTCTGCCTTCGAAGGGCTCCTGCTTCCCTTGGGCTAACTATGGTTTTCATCCTTCCCCCAGAGGCTTTGTTCTCCCCACCCTGGGCTTTTCCACGTGCTGTCTGCCTGGACCGCTCTTCCTCTCTGCTCAGATTCATTCTTCCGGACCAGATGGGGAACACTCTCCTTAGCAAAGGCTTCCCTGGCCGATGCAGAGAGGCCACGTCTGCCTGCCCAGCACCTAGCAGGGGTGGGGTACCTGCGGCCTCCCGCCTCGAGGCCACACGTGGCCTTCTGGATCCTTAACTGCAGCCTTTTGACTGAATCCAAATTTTACAGAACATAAGGATTTCGTTCTGTAAAATTTGGATTAGGTTGAGGGGCCACCCTTGGGGATCCAGAGGGCCACATGTGGCCTTGAGTCCGCAGGTCCCGCCCAACCCTCCCCCCGCCTTACTCGCTTACAGATCTGTCTCCACTACCAGGGAGCGTGGTGATTCCAGGCCCCGCTGTCTCCTCATTGTTGAGTCCCCAGGGCTTGCTACTACGCTGGGCTTATAATAGGCACTTAAAGTTTTGCTGAATCAACAGCATAAGCTCCCTGCATTTTACACTTTCCTCTCTCGCCCATGCTGTCTGACACCACATATTGTAGACACTTAGTCAACGTCAACGGGAGTGGGAGCCTGAATTCCCCCGCCAGCAGCCGAACTTAATAAAAACAAAGCAAAACAAAAACCTCTCCCTGTTCTCCCATCTCACAATTAAGATCACGAGAATCTGGATTCCTTCCAAGCCCTCCCAGCAGCCGAACCCAGCAGGACCCGCGGAGTCTGAGCCTGGCTCCTGCAGGGGCCAGCAGAGCAGGGTGGGGAGCAGCTGTCAGGGCCAGGCAGCCGCCTCCTGCGCCTTCCCGGGTTCTTGCCTATTAAGGTAAGAATCCTCAGAGGAGCGCGGGAGGGGCCAGCTGGAGGGTCCCCTAGAAGCGGCCTCTGCGGCCTGTGTGCTGGCCTGGCGCCCGGGAACCACGTCTCTGGCCACTCGGCTGGGTGCCCCGCGACGGGTCCTGCCGGCTTCAGGGAGGGCTCGGTCCTACATCTCTCTTCCACCTGAAGTCACCTTCCTAGGTTTCCACAGCCACCGAGGCCGCGTCCTTATCCCTCAACCACCATCCTCTCCAGGGAGTCTCTGCGTTGCGCGCTGCTTAACCGGGTCCCGCGTCCCCAGGACGCTCCTTCCTCGCAGATGCTCGGACAGCCGCCGCCAGCGGTGCGCCCGCGGGAGGCTAGGAAGGTGGTCCCCGCGTCAGGAGGGGCGGAGGCGGCCCCTGCGTCCGAGGAAGAGCGGACGCGCTTCTTCTGGCCGCTTGGTCTCCACCCTCCCGGCGCCCCCACCCCTGGCCAGCCTCGCCGCCTGGGGTCCTCGCAGGCCCCGGCCCCCCGCGCCCCGCCCCCCGCGCCCGCCCCGAGCCCCGCGCCGCGGCCCGCCCCGCCCGCCCGTCCCCGCCGGCGCCCCGCGCTCCCGGCGCTCGGAGCGCGGGCCTGGGACTCAGGAGCCCGCCGCCAGGGCCGCAGCATGGGGCGCTTCCGCGGGGGCCTGCGGTGCATCAAGTACCTGCTGCTCGGCTTCAACCTGCTCTTCTGGGTGAGACCCGGAGCTGGAGGGCCGGGCAGGGGCCGGGCGGCGGGCGCGGGGCCGGGTCCCCGGGGAGCGGACCGCTGCGGCGCCCGAGCGGCGCTCCGGGAGAGGGCAGGGTGTTCAAACGGCGAGGCCAGAAGGCGACAAAGAGGGAGGGGAGGGATGGAGGGGAGACAGCGGGGAGAGAGAGAAGACTGATCAGAAATGATGAGAAGGGGAGAGACACCGTGCGGCTGTGACGAACCCCCTGCCTTGGTTTTTATCTCCCAGCTGGTGACGCCAGGTGCGGGCATGGCCTCTCCTCACCCCCGAGGGCTTGGGGCCCTGGCGGCCCCGCTCCCTTCCAGCCTGCCGTGCACACACCCCCTTCCTCTCTGCCTTCCCGCTGGAGCCCAGCCTGGCCGGGGCGTTGGGAGAGGAGCCCCTGCCCTTGGGGCTGCGGGGTGGTGCCCCACGCGAGGTGTGTGGACGCGCCACCCGGCTGTGATGGGTTCGTATAGGGAATTAGGGGTAGGAGTGAAAATTGAAGGGCGGGAGCGTCGTTTTTCTGGGCGTTAGGGAAGGGTACCGCTGGGTGAGAGGAGGTGGAAGGCGCTCTTCTGGCAGGGGTGGGGAGCGGAGGGGCTTCCAAGGGGCAGCGGCGTCTCCTCACAGCCGCCAGCCTGCAGCCTCTGCTAAATACTAAGGCTCCCAAGATGATCTCATTCAACTTTGCAGGGGTGTATGGAACTGACAGCATTCCCGGGATTAACGCCTCTCTGAGAGATAGGGCCTTGACCCTGGACTCCTGTGTTAATGAGACATGATTAGGGCTAGACCATCACTGGATCCCTGGAGACCCTGTCCCAGGCCCTGGACAATTGTGAGACATGGTCTGAAAATTGTCTTTTCTGCACTTTTCCTCTTGGGCTTTCTTAAGAGAATGTCAGCCAGTGTAAGTGCTCAGACAGACCCTGAGGGAAAATACAGAGCTTGCTTGAGGTGAAGAGCTGCTTGGAGGGGGAGGGAGCAGCAGGGGCCTGAGTGATTTGAAACCACTGGGCTGGAGGAGGTAGCTGTCCTCTCTGCTCTGGGAAAGTTGTCTTCCCATGACTGCAACTATTTAATTATTGAATGATGGTCTCTGTGTCTGCCAACCCATTCGCCCAGATGCCAGGGTGACTCCAGCAACTCCAGGCTCTTCAGAGGCCAAAGGGCCATCCTCAGCATCCTTCCGCAGTGGAAGGTGTGAAGGAGGTACCTCTTGGACATCCCCAGAATCTTAAAGATACACATGGCTTTTGTACACCTGGTCATTTACATGCAGCATACTATTGGGAAGGACATTTCTGAAGGCCCCTTATGTTATGTAGTCTGGGCTTAATTTCAAAAGCTGTTAATTATACATGTCATGCTAAAGTGACACCCTTCACTCTCATTGCTTACAAATTCAAAAGGAGTTTTAAGCCTGAGAAGGAATTCTTAGGCTGAGTGCATTGCTTATTTAGCGCCTGATGTTGTGCCAGCCTTCCCAGGGATAATTAGAAACATTTATTGACTGTGTTCAGTGTGTCAGGGACAGTGCTAAGCACTTTACATTCATGATTACACTTAATCCTCACAACACTTCTGATGTGCATACTATTATTATCCCCATTTTTATAGATGAGGAAACAGAGGCTCAAATAGGTTTACTTGGTCAAGATCACACGGCTAGTGAGTGGCAGAGATAGGACTCAAACTCAGCCTACCTGCTCTTAAGTGCTCTGCTGCATTCAATTAACAAGTTGTTCTCAAAAGTGTGGTTCCCGGACCAGCAGCATCAACTTCTCCTGGGAATTTATCAGAAATGCACATTCGCAGCCTGTCCCAAAGCTGTTGAATCAGGGGAGGAACCCAGCAATCAGGTAATTCTGATCTCAAGTTTGAGAACTACTCTATTAAACAATTATTAAACAAATAATAATTTACAAATATAAACACTGTCCCCTAAGCTGCTAATCTAGTTGAGGAGAGGAGACCCAAGCATATAGCACAACAACACAAAAATAAGACAATGTAGCAAGTGACAAATTTCACGCTGTTGACCATAAACACAGCAAGGAAGGGAAGTGGGAACAACGCATGTTTGAGTGCCTCCATGTGTGAGCCACTGAGGTTTGATGTGACCTTTTAGATACATGATCTAATTCAGGAGTTTACAGAAAGGATTACAGTAGTAGTGAGGAAACAGAAAAGTTCTCTTTAACTGGGAGATATTTAAGCTGAACCTTGAGGGACTGGGAGGATGGAGGTGAGCAAAGGTGACAGACACACCATCCACCAACAGAGGAACAGAGCAAGGGGGTGTGTGGGCCACCATCTGACTGAGGAAGCCATCAGGCTTGTTTGCAGAGATCCTGAGCAGCCTATGCTTGTACGAGCAGGGTGTACTTGAGCAATTTATTCTTACTTCTAGTCTTGTTTTCTCATCTGCACAATTGGAGTAATAAAGTTCTTGAGAGGATTAAAAGGAAATATGTTAAGTATCTGACCTCAACTTTCTATAAGCCTAGTACATAGTAAATACTCAAACAATTTTTATTATTACTAAATGCCTGGCACATAGTAAGCATTCAGTAAGTGTTAGCTCTCTTTGATTCCCTTAATGTTGGGGAACAGTATGTATGTTTGCCAAGTGACTTGCTGCTTCTCTCCATTTGAGGAGAACTGCACATTATCCTTTCAATTTGTACTTGTGAATTTTCCCCACTAGAGCTTAAAACACTCTGAGAGCGGGAATTTTGTTCTGTTTTGTTAACAGCTGTATCTCCAGCACCTAGAATAGTACCCTGCACATAGGAGGTACTCAATAAATATCTCTAGAATGAATTAATGAATCTTCAGGTTAAAGAACTTGGTATGAGTAGCCTTCTTGATTTGCACAGATAATCAATAATCAACTTTATCTGAAGGACTGAACCTGTCTCTGTTCATGACCGAGCTGTTTGTGCTCTGCTTACATAAATCGAGCATGGTAGGAAAATATGGGGACCTTCCCCTCCCCTGGTTCCATGGGAGGGTTGGGGGGCCGCTGTGCGGAACAGTGGCCATGTCTATACCTGCACGACCAAAGCCAAAAGGGCAGACCAAAACAGGTGCCTAGTGACTTAGGGGAGTGCGATTGTGTGGGATTAATTATTTAGATATCTACCTTCACTGCGACTGAGGGAACCTGATTCCAGAGAAGCTCCACCCTAGTTTCTGAAGTTGTTTTTTCCTGGTTGGAGGGCTTTGTGGGAAGTTCGGGGAAGGAGCAGAGGACTGCTTTCCTGGAAGGACAGGCTTTAGCCATGACTTAAAGTGTGACATGTACACACACCGTTAGAAGCTCATGTGCCTGCTCTCTGAGATATAAGGTCCCCTGGGTGACATCACTTCCTTTCCTGTCAAAAACTCGCCAGAGGCAGGTATGGAGGTGGAGCGGGGTATGTTTTGTGATCTGCCATTTGACAAATCGTTTTGCAGCCTCCTCTGGCAGCTCGGGTTAAGTTTCCCTAAGCTGTGCTCCTGGTTGAATAAACATTCAACAAGATTCTGCCCGAGCCAGCACAGTACTCCCTGGCCCAGGGCCGCTGACTGTATTCACCATTGAATTTTTAAAAACAAAAGTAAAGCCTCTCCATTAACCCCACTAAATTAATTTCTGTTATCGTGGCTGATGTCTGGCATGAAACTCCTCCCAACATCAGCCTAAATTCAGACACTGCAATCAGATAGCATGGCATATTCCTGTGCCTTTCATTGAAATCACCTTTATTTTTTTCCTCCGTTGCATAGCAATATAAATAAAACACTACAACCCACCAAGCCGCACATGTTGGTTTAAAGAAAAACCTGGGCACTGTTTATCCCTTGGTTTGTTGTTGTATGCTCAGCGTTTTCCTATCATTGTGCTGCACTAGCCGCTCAGTGTTACCAACTGACAGGAAGCAGGGTCGCTCATTGTTGAAAGTCAGATGCCATATATGGCAAGCTTGAAGTAGCTCTCCTTTCCTTCTCACCCTTAGTGCTGCAGCTTTGCGCTTTCACTTGCTGATGCCTGACAGGTGCTTTAAGGAAAGACTGTCTCACTGGCCTGGGAGTGAAAGAAGTTTGACTCAAATGAAGCTCATAGAGGTCACACCGCTGCCTCTTTCTCAAACTTATTTCAAACAGTAACTTCAGAGCAATCACCTGTCAGAAAGACTGGCTTACAAAAGAATCCCTAAAGAAAATATTGTTTGGGGTCCACTCAAAAGCTAAACCACCCTAGAAGGCAGATAGGAATTTCCTCAGCCTCCCTGTAGAATAGTCTTCATTTCTGATTTCTGTCCAGGTGGGAAGAGAGCAGCAGTGGTCAGCCTCCCCTAGTGTGGATGAGAGGGACCTCATGTTGATGGGAGGGACAAGAAATCTGCAATAGGGGCCAGTCTGGGAAGGCCAGAGCTATCGTTCCTGTGGTCTGGTAGACATCTGGACAGATCTATGCAGTGTGGCACTTCTAATCCAGGAATCCAGAGCCTGGGAGGTGGGTACTGGCATCACACTGCCTGAGTTTATTCCTGGCTCCACCATTTACTACCTAAGGGACCTTGGGCAAGTTGTTTAACTTTTTGAGCCTCAGTTTTCTCATCTGTAAAATGGACGTAATAAAGTACCAACATAAATCTATGATCTTTATGCAGAAAAACATGAGTTAAGATACGTGAGGTAATAAGTATGGCATATGCACATAGTAAATACTCAATAACTAGAAGTACAGTGGGAAAGTAAAATTTGGAATCCAAGGGGTTCCTAAAGGTAAGGGGAAGCAAGCAGATGGCCGACGTCCAGTCAACCAAGCAAAGCAGCACGAGTCTTGTGGTTTATCAAGGGCATGGAGTCAGAAGGAGAGATCCCTTCCTCTACAATCAGTTCACTCAGCAAACATGCACTGACCACCATTTATGTGCCTGACATCCTGCTAAGTGCTGGAGATTCAAAGATGATTAATTGATTAATTAATC